TGAGTTAGACTCTCCCTTTTTCTTTTTAAGGGATGCAGGAAGCGTCGGTGAGTACGTGAAATGTGAGAAGTGTGCTATATACACTACAAGAATTTATTGTTTTCCTAACGAAATTTTTCCCAACATTAAAAATATCGTCGGGAGAAGTCAGTTCTCTCGACGAAAATAAAATTGTAGGAACAATTATAAGTTTTGTCAACGTTACTACATAAGAATCCGGATTGTAAAAGAATTGTTCATAATTCTCTATTGGTGAGAACAAGGATATTACAGAATCATCTAATAATCGTTGGAAAAAAGTCTATATTTGCCGACGTTTTTTACAGAATGTCGGCAAATATTCAATTTCTTCTAACGTTTTACAAAAAACGTTGGGAATATGAACAAATAAATTCAAACACACAAAAGTTACGCAATAAATATTTCGACGTTTTAATAAAAACGTGGGGTAAATATCCCTTCTCCCGACGTTTTTACAAAAACGTTGGGTGAAAATCACTCATCCTCACGTTTTATTAAACAAGTTGAGAGAAATAATTTTAAAAACGTTGGGATAACATAATGCATTCCAACAGTTTTACAAAAACGTTGGGACCATTGCGCCCATCGTTTTATTAAAAACGTCCATATATATGTTATTTCCTCCTATGTTTTGCAACAAATGGTGGGAATATGGGTTAATAAATTCAAACATACCAAAATTATGCGCTAAATATTCCGATGTTTTAATAAAAACGTGGGGCAAAGATCCCTTCTCCTCACATTTTTACTATAACGTTGGCAAAAGATCACTTATCTCCACATTTTACTAAAAACGTTGGGAAAAGTAACCTTTTCCTCGCGTTTTTGCAAAAAGGTTGACAGAAGATCATTTATCCCCACATTTTACTAAAAACGTTGGGGGAAGTAATTTTATCCCAACGTTTTTGCAAAAACGTTAGAATAACATAATATATCCCAACGTTTTATTAAAAACGTTAAGAGAAGTAACTTTATTCCAACATTTTTACAAGAACGTTGAGATAACATAATGTATCCCAAACGTTTTATATAAATTTTGGGGGTATTATTTTAAAATAAATTTGAAAGTTACAATATTTTAAAAATTAATTTTGAAAATAGAAATATTTTTTAAAAATAAAACCTTGAAAATGACATCTTTTTCCAACGTTATAAAAAAATGTTGGGAAAAGATAATTAAAAGGTGGGATCAGAAATCTTTTAAATTCCTAAATCTCATCTTTGTCCAATGTTATTATAAAATGTTGGGGGAGGGTCTCGGATACCAACGTTCATTAGAAAATATGGGGAGAAATTCTCGCATACCAACTTTTCTTAGAAAACGTGGGGAGAAATATGATAATCCTTTCCAACATTATTATAAAATTGTTGGGATAAATTAAATCATTGAATTTTCTAATTTCAGAGTTATAATTTTGGGTAAATTAGAACTTAAAGTTTAATTTCGTTAGATTAAGATAAATTAAGTTTTCGAATTTTGATTTTTAATTAAATCTTAATTCAAGAATTTAGAAATTTAATTTTTCTTTTGGATTTTATTATTGGATTTTAAACTTAAGTTAATCTATTAATTTATTTTCTCAAATCTTTTTGGGTGGGTTTTATTTTGGAGAAGAAGATTAAGAAAAAATCTATACTCTTTTATAAGGAATTAGAGGGTAAGATTACAACATTCAAATTTAATTTCGTCCAAAGTTTAATGCAAAATTATATATATTGTAACATTTAATGAAAAAAATCTTATGCCGACGTTTTTAAAAACATTGGGGGGGTATTATTTTTAAATTAAAATTTAAAGGTAGAATATTTTAAAAAGTAATTTCCAAAAACTTGTTTTTATTTCTAAAATTTGACTAAAAATTTATATATATTGAAGAAAAATGAAAAACATAATAAAGAAATTTTGTGAAAACAAGCCTTTTTAAAAATAATATTACAAAAAAAATAATATAGTTTTCAATGGAGGCCAAGTAATTTATTTTAGAACTAAAAAAATATAAGACTATCTAGGTGATCTCTCTTTTTCAAATTTGATATCTTACGTACAATATTATTTTTAATAATAATAATAATAATAATATTATTATTATTATTTAAACAAAATCTTATTTTGGTAAACCAATTTTAATCGGCACCTCCCACCCCTTATATTTTTCCCTCCCCAATTTCAAGCCGTATCCTACCCCTCGACTTTTCCCTCCAAATTGATTTTCGCTCTCCAATTTCAAACCGCTTCTCAGTCCCTCGATTTTTCCCTCTCCAATTTCAATTGCCGCCTCACACCCCCTCGATTATTCCCTCTCTTTCTTCGTCCCGACGCTATCGCTACCCACCAAAGCCGTCACCGTCGCTGCATTCCGCTGAAGCGGCTGCCGCCATCGCCATCGCATCGTTTCTGGAGGTCTCAGACTCTCTGCAACATCTGCTCTCACCGTTATAAAGCATCGTAATCTTGTGGTGGTGTTAAAGAATGGCTCACTTTTGTTGCATTATTTAGAATTGTTTTCAGGTTCTCGGAGTTGAGTGGAACGTGAGTCAGCTGGAAATTCAGAAAGCTTTCCACAAGTATTCTCTTGAACTGCCATCCAAAATTAACGTTCCTCTTCAATTTGATTCAACTCCACTTGTATTGTAATTAACACTCCGAAACTATACAATTATCGATCTGCAACTCTGAAGTTTTCTTGAACCTCGATTTCAGATGGGGAACATTAAAATTCCTACTGCTAAAACAAGAACCAGGAAGCGAGTCTCTGATCCCGATCTCACGAGCTCCGATCAAAGGAAGCGGACCGGCAATGATATTGACCTCGATCTCGACCTTTCCGAGTACGTACTATTTCCATTTCTGTTGCACTTTCTACTGATTTTCAGAAGCTTGATAATGATATCTGCTATGTGCAGCGATCTCAAAGGGATAGTGTCGGCACTGAATCAGATAAGAGAGAAAGCTCAGAAGGACGACCAGAAAAAGAATGAAGAGACTATCTCAAGGTAATTTGAGTGGTTTTGCTCGATCGGAAATTATTGATACTTATTTAATTGATAGGAGTAGCTGAAACTGTGTATTCTTGTGCGTATTTTCGATTCTCGAATTTCTGGACATGGCTGCTGATTTGCGCCTCATTTGTTTCTTTTAGTAGATTTGAACTGACCTCTGTAGTGATTTGATTCTATTATTTACGTGATGTGATTTCATTATAAAATTCAAATGGTTGCCTGATTCAAACTTGACTTTCTGGATCAGACTTGATCCGCCTCACCGTTTCTGTCAAACATTTGGCTGTTTTCCAACTTCGATCCGTGTCGCTCCTTTTTAATGACAGTTAAATTATTTTCTTAGCTAATGCTTCTCTTCATGTCGTTCACTAAAACGATTTTTTTAATGTTTACATTTTGACAGTGTATCCTCTGAGATCAGAACAATGATTGAGGAGGTGAAATCTAAATTTGAGAAGGACAGGTAGGTAACTCGATTGTGAGCATTTTCACTTGATCGAAATCTTCCGGTTCAGGACAGTTGCTCGCTTCTGTTTTTGGTTGAATTAGTACACAGAATAAAATCAATTTATTTTCCCCAACTAATTTCAGGCAAAGTTTTGCAAAAGCACTATCGAAAAGCTCAAAAGAGGTTGGTGGAGAACAAATATACTCGGAATATAGACCATTCATATTCAAGAGCAAATTCAGTCATTCTATTTTGTTTTAGTTCCATTGTACATTATCCACGTGTTGCGTTGAAATTAATTTGGCTTCTTTATAGTGCGAAAACTGTTTAAAGGACGAAACTGCTAAATTCCAAGCACTTCACGAGAAATTCACAAAAGAGAGAGCCACACACCTCCAGGCCATAAAAGGTAATATCCACTTCGAGTAATTTGGTGAAAAATTTTGCATTATTTAGTCATTACTTCTGTTTAGATTAATTTGCACTTTATTTATCAAACATCAACTATCGCATTCATGAGGTTAGGTTTCAATCTAGTAAATATTCACTTAACGTGAGGCCTTACCAATGAATAAGCAAACCCTTGTCATTTATAATTTCCAAATATCGCATTCATCAGGTTAGGTTTCAATCTGGTAAATATTCCAAATATATACAGAGTACAGACCATGGGCTTATGATCTTAAATCATTCAAGTTCAAGACGATTCTCTAAATAGTTCCCCCCACCCCTTTTTGGTTATGTTTTTAATTTCAGATGCTGTTTGGCTTTGCAGATACCATTTCCAAATTTGAAGAGGAGAAAGAAAGGCTATTCGCAAAATATGAACAACTGAGTAAGTAAGAAGTTGTACATCAATGAGCACCGAACGTTATATTATCTATTTGCCTTTGCATCTGTAACAGGAAAGAGAGAAAGGAACCTGATATCTGAACAAGAGAAAGCTTGTGCTGACAAAATTGCTCAACTGGAGGAGTCGTTGAAAAGGAAAAAGCAGGTATACGATCAGTAATTCATAAAATTATCACCAACGCCTTCCCCCTTCTATGCTAAGGTGCTCCTTATAACACTTCGATCTGGAACACAGGATGATAAGACTTTCAGCCTTTTGCGGAAAACTCTTGGTTCATTTCTAGAAACTGGTTCAGATGAGGACTTCCCAGCGGAAGATTGAAGGTGTTAATGCATTGAGCAGTGCTGAAAACATTCATGTAAGATTCCTCCGCATCATTCTCTGAAATACTTTGAAAATACCACACATCACACACCAACATTAGACAAACAATTTGCATTGCTTTAGTGTCTAGTCTACATTCTCGTATAGGCATATTCCTCTTTTAAGGGTCCTCTTAATAGTCTGGATTGGAAATTGAGCGTTAAGGGCCATTTCCTTTATCTTAATTGTTGGCCTTATGGCTGTAGCCACTTTGCCTCTCTAATTCTGCCAATCTCTATGAATTGTGAAGTTGTCTTAATTGCATCATCTCTATTATTAAGCGTTTTTGGCCATTCATGACACCGTCTACCAACATATTTAAATGTTGCCAAGACTTCATATTCCATGATGAAAAGCTTGCCTACCAATGTGATTTAATTTTAGTCTTCTATAATTTCTACAATATCCTACCTAATATTCCTAGTCCCTACCCCAAGCCAATCCCGATGAGATTTACATCTGATGAACGTCTTATCTAGACCCTGATTCAGTGGTCAGAGATGCCACACTAAGAGATCGTACATGAGAACTAGTTGAATCAACCCAACATCAATTTCTCCCACTTACACTTTGAGAACATAGTGGTTCTTAGGGTCATTTTAATTTTCACACTGCCAACTTAATCCAATACTGTAACATCTAAAAAAACTGCGTCACAACAATATATGCAGCCTTGATTCACTCTTTTGCACTATAAGAAAGTGTCTTAGATTGTTCAAATTTCAAATTGGAGAAAATTGCTAATGGCGTGGAGAAGAATTTAAAGTCAAGATCTCAAAAAATCTGCAAACAACTCAATTTAGCAATAAGAAAGTAGCCATCTGGTGTTCAATGAACAGGAAAATAAGGACTCGTTTGATGACGTTATCATTTTCAATTTTATTAAGAAATTCTAGCATTTTACAACTATGTAGATTTATTATTTCTCATTTTTTAGAAACATTCTCAAAATTGTAAAAATTTTGGAAACAACAAAAACAAGTTAGTTTCTTGTTCCTGCCTTGAATCTATTAATCTTGATGTCATGCAAAAAAGAAAAAACAGAAATCAGAAATATGAATGTTTCCAAAAGAGCTCTAAATACCATAAAATCATTAGCATTTTACAAATGAAACCGGTAAAAAAAAAAAGTCTTGAGCAACCAGGCTGTCCTATCTTGCATCTAATCTTTGCCCAGGTTAACCTGTCATCAACTCAAGAAAACCGTTTCATGAACTAAATTTATCTCAGTTTGTGCAAACCAAAATCACCTATTAAGTATGCTTGTCCCCAAGATTCCGTTTATTAAACCCGAGCAGCCAAAAAGAGGCTAGAATTGAAACCAAATTTGGTCCATAGATAGCTGTTTTAATCAATATATTCAATAAAAAAATTCATTTACATTGAAAAACACCTCATATATTGGCAGCACCTAATAAGGCTCCAAACAGCAGAACAAAAAATCAACATAAGTAGGAATTCAAAGTCACAAGGCAAAGACAAGTCACCCTTGGGGTAGATAACATGTTAGAAGTTGGGAAGAGCAGTTCCTAAGTTTCTTTACATAAATTCAAAAAACTAATAGAGAAATAAAAACTGCCGGTAATGAGTATGTTGTTTTTCCTTCTCTGCATGATTAAGGCTGCAAAGGAAAAGACCAATTCAGAAGATACCAGATCTTTTCCTAGCAGAAGTATCACATAAGTCATAGATAATCAGACTCTACTGGACAACGTTGGTAGGAGGGGTTGCTTGTCCCTGCTGGACAGACCACGGTGGGCGTCTGTTATGCACCTGCACAGCAACTTAGAGTTGTCAGAGGCTAAAATTTATGGTCATGATTTCTCATTCACACGATTAATAAAACAATCATCGTCAAACAGTGCAAAATACCGTAACCAATGCCCTTATTTCGATATAGTATGAAGAACTAGCAAAATAAGCATAATAAAGATCCATTCTCCTTGGTACTGCAAATTACAGCAGTTATGCTATGCCAAACACAGGTTACTGCCTACTCATGGGGTGATGGGGAGGATAAGTTTCACCAGATTCATGTTTTGTGCCTTTATGTTTACTTCAGAAAAGGCACGAATTTTTCACCCAATGATTAAAGAAAGGTCAAGTTTCCAGCATATCATGCTCCAACATAGTGAATGAGTGAGACAACCAGAAAGTTTAAGACTATACTTTACTTTCCAAGCAATAACTTTGCCAGAAAGCGGTTTCACATACCCCAATTTCTGTTACATTGGTACACGACGAACACCTAACTGATGATGCTCCATATGGGTACATCAGCAACAATGCACAGGAACCACATTTAACTTGTCCAACCTCCTGTGCTGGAAAAAGAGTGTAGCGGTTTTAGAAAGAATAGGAAAAGTTGTATTGTAAGAATTTGACAGCAAGTCAGTAGGAAGATTGGATCTATTGAGTTATTATTGAATAGTGAATCATGAAAAAAAAAATGACAAAATAGATAGACTTGAACTCACAAAGATTTGAAAATTGAAGTATTTTCTTCTTAACATAAATTTCATTCTTTCAATAGATTGATTCCATAAATGATCAAGTACATCCCAGTTCCAGGAAATTAGAGTTGACATGTAAAATCTGACTATTCTAATCCCATCCATATGCTCAATTCTTCAAAATTCAATCAATCTATGATGGAGTAATTATTTAGTCGATGGACACTCGGCAAGACAGTACACGTGAACACTACGTACACCAGCCGACCACTACCACAAGAAACAGTTATTCAAAAATACAACCAGACACTTTAACTCTAATGAAAGAGGAAGCAGTAGGAAAAATAAAATCGTTTTCAAGAGCTGAGAAGTGCTGATGGCACTTTGGAACCAATATACGTGGGACCTTCTTCAAAAGTAGCTAAACCAGCAGCAGATGAACGAGATAACAATTTTTTTTTCTGATATCCATGAGTGTACGGATTAGCTTATGTACATCTCGACTAAGAACGAGATAACTTTTAAGACAAAAATAACAGTTAAAACCAAAAAGAAGGAAAAGAGACAGAACCTTCTAGCACATAGTTGACTGTTGAACAGCAAGAGCACCGAACATATCTGGCTCCCTTTAAATACTTAAGCAGGCGACGGCAGGAACCACAGACCATTTGTGCCATATCAGCTGCACATCAAAACGTCTCCAGTGAGAATATTTGACAATCTCGGGATCTTGCAGTAAAACGTGCTAATAAGAATGTTCCAACTTCTATCCACTTTTGTCAAATTAACATCGATCCCATGAACATGAACTATGAATTCTTCGAGCGGATTAATAGTGCATAGATACGAATAGAACTAATTCCAATATGATTTTTGCTGCTAAATTTGGTTAACAAGTTCACAGTCTTAACTAATTGAAAGAAATCACTAAATCGATTCGCTCACAAACTCGAACACCGAAAATAATGTGCAGGACTTACTAAACAAAATCTCAACTTGTGTATTAACAGTCAATCAACTGAAGTTTAATCACATGTATTAAGAGCCAGTGGTGGAAAATAATTAGATGCTTGGAATCTCAGAACCAAATACGAAAACTCGCAAAGTCATACAAATTAGTTTAGTGTAATTCGAGAGAAGGCGATAAGTTTAACAGGTCCGAAGCAAAGATCCGAGTTATTATAGATGTAAACATACAATTTCTTCGATTCCAAGACGGAACGAATACAAAATTAATCGCAAAATCTGAAGAAAAACTCGGAAGTACTCACAAGAAAGTGGCGGCGGTGGTGGAGGCGGCGGCGGCGGAGTGATAGGTTCCCATCCGGGAGGAGGTCCGTCATCTTCGTCATTGTCGATTTCCTGGAATTCCATTCTCTCGATTTGTCGTTCCTAAAAAATCGACCATGCCTTCTACGGTAGTACTGTACCGCTATAAACCTCCCGCACGAACACGGTGAACTACTGTCGCACTGACTTCTCAATTGCTTTTTTATGCTATTTTTTATTTTTAGGTTTAAATGTTTTCTATTCTATTGAGCAAGATCCTAAATTTTTTTTTCTTTTTATCATTATTATCCGAATCAAATTCCTAAATAGCTGGTTATCATAGAATTTAAACTTGTTAGTTTTGAATCTTAAAAAAAAAAAGGAAAAAAGATTTTCTAATCTTTTTAATTTATCTAGGTTTTTTTGGACCACTGAACCAATTCAAGATTGTTAAGATTTTAAATATTGATGTGACTAATCTAATTTATCTTGGTTGGAGATAAATATGCTCAGCTATGCTCGCTTTCAAATTCATGTCCAGGACGTATGCTAATATCGTTGAGCTACACTCATGTGAGTCATTCTACTTGCCTGTATAAATCTTGTTTTATCAAAATTTTATGTTTTCTCACACTTCTTTTAAATTTTAACTAAACTTCTTGTGGGCACACACCACAACTCACATAGAACAAAGGAATACGAGCACTAAAGAGAAAGCTTTATTAGTCTAAAAAACTATGGAAGAGTGAGCTTCGTAACAAATATGGGTGGTCGAAACTTGAAA